ATCTGCCCGCCTTGGTCTCCCAGAGTGCTGGGATTACAGGCGTGACACTGGGCGCAGCCTCTGGATTCTTATATGTAATATAAACTTTCCTAAATTTCAAAATGTTGATCATTGTACAGATTTTTTTCTTTGATTTCCTCTCTCCTAACATTGACCATTGTCCATAAAAAGTATACAATTTTTTATAATCAAAAATTTAAATATATTTATACATGACTCCCCTTCTTACCTATACTGTAATTACAAGATAAAGTTTATTATTCTCTTGAGAGCTAGCATTTGAAAAAAAATTTTTTGAGACAGGGTCTCACTCTGTCACCTAGGCTGGAGTGCAATGGCATGAACACAATTCACTGCAGCCTCAGATTCCTGGGCTCAGGCAATCCTCTCACCTCAGCCTCCCAAGTAGCTGGGACCACAAGTGCATGCTGCCACACTTGGCTAATTTTTAATTTTTTTGTAGAGACAGGGTCTCACTGTGTGGCCCAGGCTGGTCTTGGACTCAAGTGATCCTCCTGCCTCAGCCTCCCAAAGTGCTGGGATTACAGGCGTGAGCCCCCATTTTTTTTACATCACAAACTTTTTTTACATGATATCTGAAGAAGATGGAGCCTCTAAGGTATTAAAGATAGAGGTTAAAATGTCTTGCATGAGATTCGTTGAGGAATTTATTGTTCTGGAGAGGGAGGGGAAGGATTGAAGAACTATTAAGTGGAAGAAAAGACAATATATAGGCCAGGTGCAGTGGCTCACGCCTGTAATCCTAACAGTTTGGGAGGCCAAGGCAGGCGGATTGCCTGAGCTCAGGAGTTCGAGACCATCCTGGGCAACATGGTGAAACCCCATCTCTACTAAAATACAAAAAAAAAAAAAAATCAGCTGGGCATGGCGGCGTGCGTCTGTAGTCCCAGCTATTCGGTAGGCTGAGGTAGGATAATTGCTTGAACCTGGGAGGCGGAGGTTGCAGTGAGCCGAGAATGCACAACTGCACTCCAGCCTGGGCAACAGAGCAAGACTCCATCTCCATTAATATATATATACATACACACACACACACAAAATTCATGTTATCAATAACTATTAATCCCACATTTGCATTTGTGCACATAGGAAAAAAAGGTTGGAAGAAACAACCTTTTTCTAACCTGGGTTATCTTTTCTATAGATTGTTTATTCTATGTTTTTCAAATTACCTACAGTAAACATGTAATAATTTTATAATGAAAAACAAAAGTTATTCTAATAACCAGAGGAGGCCAGTCATGGTGGCTCATACCTGTAATCCCAGCACTTTGGGAGGCTGAGGCAGGCAGATGACTTGAGGTCAAGAGTTCGAGGCCAGCCTGGCCAACATGATGAAACCCTGTCTCTACTAAAAATACAAAAATTAGCAAGGCATGGTGGCATGTACCTGTAGTCCCAGTTACTTGGGAGGCTGAGGCATTAGAATCGCTTGAAACCAGTAGGTAGAAGTTGCAGTGAGTCAAAATCATGCCACTGCACTCCAGCCTGGGCGACAGAGTGAGACTCCATCTCAAAAACAAAACAAAAAAACAGACGAGTACAGATAGATTCAGAGAAGGGGCAGGGGATTTCCAAGTATATGTGGTGAAAAAAGGATGACAATGGGCTAGACATTGTCTGGGTGCAATTGATTGAGCCAGTCTTCGCATGCCAAGACTTCACATGAGAGATTGGTAGGTGAAAAACTTAGGTAAATTAGGATCTGTTGAAGACTTTTGTGATGGTTAATATTGAGTGTCAATTGGATTGGATTGAAGGATGCAAAGTATTGTTCTTGGGTGTGTCTATGAGGGTGTTGCCAAAGGAAATTAACTTTTTTTTTTTTTTTGAGACAGAGTCTCACTCTGTCGCCCAGGCTGGAGTGTAGTGACACAATCTTGGCTCACCACAACCTCCACCTGCCGGGTTTAAGCAATTATCCTGCCTCGGCCTCCCGAGTAGCTGGGATTACAGGTGCCTGCCACCATGTCTGGCTAATTTTTGTATTTTTAGTAGAGAGGAGGTTTCACCACGTTGGCCAGGCTGGTCTCGAACTCCTGACCTCAGGTTATCCACCCGCTTCAGCCTCCCAAAGTGCTGGGATTACAGGCATGAGCCACTGCACCCAGGCCTGAAATTAACATTTGAGACAGTGGACTGGGAGAGGCAGACCCTCCCTCAATCTGGGTGGGCACCATCTAATCAGCTGCCAGCACAGCTAGGATAAAAGCAGGCAGAGGAACGTGGAAGGACTAGACTGGCTGACTCTTCCAGCCTTCATCTGTCTCCTGTGCCAGATGCTTCCTGCCTTCGAACATTGAATTTCAAGTTCTTCAGCTTTTGGGTTCTTGGACTTACACCAGTGGTTTGCCAGGGGCTCTCCAGCCATCAGCCACAGACTGAAGGCTGTACTGTTGGCTTCCCTACTTTTGAGGTTTTGGGACTCGGACTGGCCTCCTTGCTCCTCAGCTTGCAGACGGCCTATTGTGGGACTTCATCTTATGATCGTGTGAGTCAATACTCTTCAATAAACTCCCTTTCATATATATATCTATCCTATTAGTCCTGTCCCTCTAGAGAACCCTGACTAATACAACGTTGAATGCCAATTTAACCTTCTAGGACCTGGCTTCTTGAGACTGGAATAGAAGAAGGGGGAAAAGCCTAGGACAATAAGCTGATCCAGTCAAAACTGCTTCTGAGAGCAAGTACTACCAGAATTGTTAAGCCAACCCAAACTAAAGGAATATCAAAATGCCCCATACAAGTCATAGTGGATGAAGGACATGGTCAAGGAATCTATTCAACCCAGATGCCAGTCTGCTAAAGCATTAGAGAAACAGGAGAGATAAAGCAAGAGAATTACGGGCAGTTAGGCAAGGCTGAGTCTGTAGCCAGGTTACTATAAATCTCAAGTTGAGCCCACAGATTTCTCGAAAGCAAGTATTCTTAACCAGGATATGTTTTTGTATGAACACATGCCTGTACTGTCCCCAAAGGATGACACATTTACTCCCCAGATCTAACATTATAACAGACCCTCAGTTGACATCATCTAGGGTGCTCCTTCTGTGAATACACACTAGAAGAAATGGTTATAGGAGCTGGTTGAGACAGGTTCTTAGGACATATTGTCTGCTAACCCAAGTTCAGATGATTGATGCCAACAAAGACTGCCACAGTAGTAAAGTAGCATCCCCCTTCCCAAATCGTCAAGGATGTATAGAAGGTCCCTGGATTCATCCCACATTTCATCCATGTGACCACCCTGCTGATGAATCTGTTCAAGGTCTATTATCCATCCAGTTCCTTGGATGGATAAAGTCAAGTTCTTCAGCAAATTAAGGAGACTTTTCATTCATTCTACAATGTTAATTTCCTTCAACTCACAATGCCTTTTCATGGAAAAGATCAACACTTCCAACCTCAGCCAGGACTATTTTTTCACAAATCCTCGGCCAGTGTTTCCCAAGCCTCTCTGAAGAAACACCACAGATTCCTGAACCCAAACCTAGATCTATGATTATAATTTCCAGGGACAAAATCTGGTAATCTGCTCTAGACAAATACTCTCATAGCTTAAACATACTTCTTTTGTAAATGCATCCCTTTGTTTAACCCCAAACCACAGCTCTTCTGGGTGAAAGAGCCCCTACAGTGATGGCTGACTTCAACACTGCCTGGGAGAGGCCTGGCACCCATAACATCTGAGACATCTCTACCAACTGGGATCTTCTTTCAAGTTGAGTCAAAAACAGTCAAAGGTGGCCCTGTTCTTCCAACAACCCATGTCTGATACAGTCTCAAATCCTTTTCTAAAGAAGGCAAGGATAAGAAAGGCAAATGGATCCTCATCCAGAAATGGATTATAGAACTAAACCTGTATCACCGCAGTTGGAGATTTCACAAGAATATGGCCCCACCTGGTCCTGTTGGGTTTGGTAGGGTTCAAAACATGCTACCCCAAATTATGGCACCTTGGCATATTGAATATTTTAAGCTGAAGGAATTTGAGAAGCAGCCTGTGCAGGAAGGACTCTCTAATCTCCCCTTTCTCCCCAGAGCACATCGTAAGACCCTCACGGAAGAGGTGTCCTTCCTGTAACTGGAGGAAGGGAGCATCCTTATGTCAGAAGATGGAAGGATTCTGAGAGGAATTTGAGGGAATGGGCCTTGCTATGTTTCCCCCAGTTTACTATCCTTAGTTCATATCCTTTGTCCTGTCACATTTTCCCACAACACTCCACTCTTCATTAAACCAAATATAAAAGTGCTCAGGCTTAACCTGACTGGCTTAACCTCAAGCTAACCATTCTTTGGGTCTTCCTTTCCTTATGAAGGCTCCTATGTCATGTGAAACTTATATGAAATAAATGTGTTTGCTCTTCTCATGTTAATCTGTCCTGTCAATATAGTTTTCAGACCCAGGAAAGAACCCTAGGAGAGTTAAGGAAAACTTTTACTCCCCTACAGCTTTCATCCTATATCCTTCTCCAGTGACTTTACTGATATGGTTCTGTGGGTCATTAAGGCCTCCTGTAGAAGCAACATTGTTTTTTATGTCCCAGCCATTAAAGTCTAGACTTCAGACCGGATTGGGGGTTATGAGAGTATACTTGGTCTACTAGGTCTTCCAGTAACCCTACATACTCCATAGCAGTCCACCCATTGCAGGGTCCTATACATGTGTACCCAGGCAAAACATACACAAGAATGGGTCAATCTCTGAGGTTAATACCTGAGAGATCTGCAGCCTGCCTAACATGTATTCCAAATCACCTTCCTAACACTAATTCCCTTGAAAGAACTTGGAGAAACCCAGAGTCCACTCCCAATTTACAATGCAGATTAAGTTCAGAACAGGAGTGAAGCCTCTAGAAGCAAAGGCCAAACATAAAAGCATACTGTAATCAGGGCCTGGCATCCGTTACATACAATTCTATTGTTATGGATCACACTCTTTTCCTTCTTCAAGTTTGATTTTACCTGTAAATAACATAATTACTTCAGAACCACCTTAACCAAGCTTTAACGTCTACTACCACTTCAACCTCCTAGATCACAATTTATCTTCTTCCTGGCTCAGCACATTTGGACTAATCACACAGAAATGGACCTCTGTCGTATTTCAGTATCTGTTATAATTTGAATGTGTCCTCCAAATTTTATGCATTGGAAATTTAATCCTCAAATTCATATGTTGATTGTATTCGGAGGTGGGGCCTTTGGGAAATAATTAGGATTAAATAAGGTCACCAGGGTGGGGCCACCATAATGGAACTGATGGGTTTATACAAAGAGGAAGAGAAACTGGAGTTGGCACACTCTTGCCCTTTCACCATGTGATGCCCTCCACCATGTTATAATGCAGCAAAAAGGCCCTCACCAGATGCTGGCACCATGCTCTTGGACTTGCCAACCTCCAGAACCTTGAGCTAAATACATTTATTTTCTTTATAAATTTCTCAGTCTTAGGTATTCAGTTATAGCAATAGAAAATGGACTAAGACAGTATCTTTCTCTTGGGAGTTGACTGCATGAGAAAATCAAGGGGACAAATCTCCAAACATCCAGATCTCCAAGTCTGGCCCCAAAGGTTCCCATATATAATAAAGGAAACTAAAGAGAATCTTGGAAAATTTTGAGCAAGAAAGTGGTACAATAAATCAATGCTTTACAAAGGTTAAGCTGGCATCTGCAGGATGGATTTAAGGGTAGAAATTACTGGATTCAGGGTTACTGGGAAGACTATTATACTAATCAAATGTGAAGATTCTGAAAGTCTGATTTTGAAAGGTGGCAATGTAGGGAAGATGTATAAAGACATTAGAAAAGAAAATCAACTAAATTCAGTGAGTGAAAGTTTTGCCCAGAAAAAAAGACGGCTTAAGAGAGATTGACATGACTTAAAAATAGAGGCTAGACACAAGAAAATTAGATATTGGAGAATGTTGGTATGCCTGAGGGTGTGAAAACTTTTAGGGATTATTTAGACAAAGCAAATTGCTAACCATATAGAAAACCCCAAGCTGTATGTACCAACAGGGAAATAAAATTTGATTTCCTTTGTGTGTATGTGAATATGCTTACTCTTTTCTAAATTCAAAAATGGCTCAGCCAGGAAAAAGAATGTGAATAGACAATTCACAGAGGAAGAAATTCAAATGGCCAATAAGCATTTGAAAAGATGCTTAATAGCAGAATTACAGCTGATAAGGATTGGTTTCTAAAAATAGAATGTAAGGCAAAAATCAAGTATAATACAGCCAATTACCCTTGAAAACCTCTTAAATCTCCCATAAAATACATTATATATGTTTTGGTGCACATAATCCTACATGTATGTATAAATATATAATAGACTGCTTTGGGGGGTGGTCCTCAAAACCACCTTTAGCTTCAATGATTCATTGTAATGACCCACAGAACTCAGAAAAGCTGTTATACTAATGGTTATGGCTTATTACAGAAAAAAAATAGAGATTAAAACCACTAAAGGAGAAAGGTGCATAAAGCAGAGTCCAGGAAAAACCAAGTGCAAGCTTTGAGTTGTTCTCTCCCAGCAGATCACATATCTGAATTCTCCCAGCTACAGTGTGACATTATGTACAAAGTATTGTTAACCAGGGAGACTCACTGAGCCTGATGTCCAAGGTTTTTTTGGGAGGAAAGGGCAGTCAATTACACAGAGCACCTATGTGACTGACCTTAGCTATTCAGTCTCCAGGTTCTCAGATGCCTAACTGATACAGTATGGTCCTGGGCCCTAGGTAAACAAGAACAGGTGTTCACCATAAATCACACTAGTATAAATCATCTGACATGGCCTATGGTCACTATACAAAGACATTCTTGGCCAGGCACAGTGGTTCATGCCCATAATCCTAGCACTTTGGGAGGTTGAGGTGGGCAGGTTTCTTGAGCCCAGGAGTCAAGACCAGCCTGGGCAACCTGGTGAAACCCCATCTCCACAAAAAATACAAAAATTAGGCATGGTGGTACACACCTGTAGTTCCAGCTACTTGGGAGGCCAAGGCAGGAGGATCGATTGAGCTTGGGAAGTCAAGGCTGCAGTGAGCCATGATGGCACCACTGCACTCCAGCCTGGGCAACAGAGCAAGACCTTGTCTCAGAAAAGAAAAACACAAAAAGACATTCTTATCAGGCCGGATATTCTAAGGGTTTAGAGGTTATCTCCCAAGGGTTGGTCAGAGGCCAGTCCTGAAGATGTCTGGAATGTGCAGGATATGGATACCTACACCTGCTGAAATAACCCTTTAGTACACTTGCACATAAAAATATGGACTACATATAGATTATGCAAAACATAACTGTATATTAACACTCTGTACTTAAAGACTGGGCTGGGCGCAGTGGCTCACTCCTGTAACTCCAGCACTTTGGGAGGCTGAGGCAGAAGGATTGCTTGAGCCCAGGAGTTCGAGACCAGCCTGGCCAACACAGCAAAATCCTGTCTCTACCAAAATTAGCCAGGCGTGGTGATGCACACCTGTAATCCCAGCTACTTAGGAGGCTGAGGCAGGAGGATCACTTGAGCCTGGGAGCCAGAGGTTGCAGTAAGCTATGATCACGCCACTGCGTTCCAGCCTAGGTGACAGAGTGAGACCCTGTCTCCAGGAAAAAAAAAAAAAAAGGAAAAAACATGACTGGAATGAAAATTTATCTTGTAGGAATATATCCAAATAAATAACAGATATGAACAAGATCTACATTTGAGGATGACAGTAAAAGGGTAAAAAGTTGAAAACAAATGGAATGTTCAAGATTAGGAAAATTGTTAAATAAATCATAGCACATTCATATCTTGGACTACTATAGAGCC